CTCCTACAAAGGGACTCCAAGGTCACACCAGGAGTCCACAGATGTGGGCTGGGTCGAAGCCTAAGAGTCATCGGCAACAACAGTAGAAGAAACAGAGGAGATGAGCAGAGACCGTGAGAGCGAACATCGTCAGGCACAGTGGGCATCTGGAACCAGTGCCGAGACACAGGGGCCGTGAGTGGCCAGGCCATTTCAAGAGCTAGTCCCAAGACTGAGACTCTTACCCTCAAGAGGCAGGGGTAAGCCTCCTCTCTTGACTTGGGGTCTGAGACTGACCCATAGGCTGTGTTCACAGGGTAGGGCGGTCCGTTCTGGGCCTAGGCCTCCACTTCCTGCCTCTTGGGTAGTTTGCTCTTGGACTCCAGCCACAGCCCTGAGAAAGCCAGTTCCCTGTGGAGACCCCCCAGTGGGGAACGGAGTCAGCACCAGCTTGCCAGCCGCCCAGTGCCCATCTTGGAAGGGGATTTTCCAACCTCAGGGAAGTCACCCCGGCTGAAACTGCCAAGCCTCATCCCAATTGTAGATTGGTGAGCAAAATAAGTGATTTGCATTGTTTTCAGCCACTACATTTGGGGTGGTTTTGTACATAGGAATAGAAAATGGTTTCAATTCTTTTTTTCCCCCTGAGCAATAGTGAACATGGCAAGTGACTCTTAGGTCTCTGCCCCCTGATCCTGGATGGGTTGGGTGACGCCTTTGGACCGAGGTCACTGGGAAGGACCCGGTTAGGGGGCCAAGGCCATGAGTTTGTTTTGTTTGAGAGTCTGAAGTGACTTGGGACTCCGGGTTGGGCTGTTGGACTCGTGGGACTCCAGCCCAGGAGAGAGGTGGCGCCTGAAGGCCGGCATCTGCGAGCCAGCTGCGCCGGGTGCCAAGGAGAGCGTGGGGCAGATGTGGACGCAGAGTGAAGCTGGAAGGGTCGGGTCTGAGCGCGAGGAGCTCTGACCCCGTGGCAAGGCCAAGGAGGCTGCGGAGGAGCAGAGCCCCTGGTGGAGGGGAGGGGGGGACGAACGCGGAGCACCGCAGGGAGGAGGAGGAGATGGCAGCCCTACAGGCCTGCCGCCCACCTCACAGCGAGCAGTGTGGCTGGGTCACCAAGAGCCCTGGGCTGCAGTCCCCGGGGCCAAGGCACCGTGCGATCACACCCGCGTTCAGGAACAGCTCCTTCCCCGGAGCCTTGCCTCTCAGCCATGGTCCTGCCACAGCTGCGCCACCAGGAGCTTGTTAGAAAGGCAGACCCCAGAGCCTAGCCTGGGCCTCCTGCAGCAGCCTGCACCGTAACGAGATCTCCAGGCAACCGTGCGCACGGCTGGGCTCCTGAGAGGAGGCACCAACCAGAGGCTGGGCAGACACTCGGGGAGGTGGTAGAACGAGGAAGACCGAGCTTAGAGAGCAACTGATCACTAACCCACTTCTCCTCAGAGTGCAGCTCTGAACCCAGAGCACACACCAGAGCCACGTGGGCAACTTCTAGAACCTCAGAGAGAAGTCCCGAGGATCTGGATGCAGAGGGTTAGGGAGGCTGGCCGCTGTATTTTTCCTCCCCGGGTGATTCCGATGGGTGACCAGAGTTAACAGCCACTCCCTAAACGGCCACTCCTCCCCACTTGAACACATGCCCCTGTTAGACTGACCATCCCCACGTCCTCTGCCCTTCAGGACTGGGACTGGACTAGCTGGGGACGGACTGGGACCATCAACCCCTGAGTGCACTCTGACGGACAGAGGGCCTCATCTGTGACTGCTGGCTTCTGCCTAGTGCCCAGGAGCCAGCAGCTGGTGCCCAGTCCCTGGGGAGCCAGGGTTCGGAGTGGCACAGGATACAGGGCCATGGCCTGGATAGAGGTCAGGCTGCCTCTCTTGCCATGGCACCTGCCGTTGACACCCCGTGACTCTGGTCCAAACACACCTTTGGGGACAGATTCACTGGGCACAGGACACTCTAGCTCATCTGAGAAGAGCCCCGTGGACTGCCTAACCTGGGCCAGGCCACTGCGCAGAGCGCCGACACATGGGTGACGCTGGGCTCAGACATGCCTGAGGGAGCGCCCCAAGCCAGCCAGCCATCGGGCCGCGGCGCTTCAGCGTGGGCCTGGGGGGGGCAGCACATTCAGGAGACCCGTCCTTCTGGGGATTGTGCCTCTCACAGAGGCCCAGGAAGGAGGCTGACTAGCCTCAGAACGTCAGCAGCTTGGACTCCATTCTCCTTGAAGACCCAGCCGGCTCAAGCACCATGGGATTACGGAGGCCTTTTACGGGGAAGGAGGAGACAAGGCCTTCTTTTCTCATCGGGTACACTTCGCAGTGATGGATTCCTCCATTTGTCTGTGTAAAGCAGTACTTCCCTAAACTTTCCTAATTTACTTGGGAAGACAGGAAGCTTCCCGTAGTTGTTGGAAGGCAGGTCGTGTGTGGGGGGTGGGGTGGGGGTGTCAGGTCTTCACAGTCTTCACGGGCCCTGGACAGAGCTGATCAGTGGCCTCCCGGAGCCTCCCCGCATGTTCCTTAAGCACATCTCTCAGCCCTACCTTATCACATCAGATCCTTTGGCATGGAATCTGGTGGCCCCGTGAGAAATGGAGTCTGGTGGCCCCCTGAGACCTGGAGTCTGGTGGCCCCCTGAGACATTTCCCGGAGTGAAAGAGCCTCGATTTTGTGCACAGATTGGCGCCTTTTCCTAGCAAGTTGGGGAGGGTCAGGCACAGAGTGGCTTTTTGGGCGACAACATGGGGCTCATCCACAGTGACCTCCAACTCCATTTCTTGCAGGCGTGGGCCAGATCAGACCTGAGATGAACAGTCACCAGAGCCTCATCAATTTCCTGTGTCTGCACTTGCCACACAAGCCACAAAGCCGTAGTGGTAAGGAGCATTGGCGGAGCGCTTATGACGTGCTGGACACTGTTCTAACTCGTCACACGGCGGGTCCCAGTCGACAGCCCCAGCCTGAGGGAGGGCACATGGGCTGTAAACCGCTCTCTCCATTTCACAGACAGCGACCGAGGTTCAGCCAGGTGAAGCGGTTTTGCATCGCACAGTCAGCTCCTCGGCTGAGGAGGAGGGGCTGGGTGGGTCCCCAAGACCTGGTGGCAGTGGGGTGCCGAGGTGGAGGGCAGGAGCATCCCACCCACTCTGCTTGGAGTCAGCGGCTCATGACAACACAGAGCAGACCGACCGACCAGAGTTGGCTTCTAAATATTCCCAGGGAGTCTGCTCGAGCCACCTCTACACAGACGACGTGACACCTCTGCTGCCCTGAGGTCCACTGAGCCAGGGCCTGTCTCACCAGCCATCAGCAGAGTCATTTGTGGGCACAGCCAGTGCAGGAAGGAAGAAGGGAAACAGGCCCAGGACCTCGAGGGCCCAGCTTGAGCTGTGCCTCCTCCAGGAAGCCCTCCCTGGCCTGCTCCTTCCCGGACCACCCCTGTGTACAGGGGGAAGTTTGTCCCGAGTTGGCCAGAGTGCCGCTTCCTCCGCCCCTTCCCCTAGAGTAGGCGTGGGGGAGGAGAGGGGCAGGCCCATGTTTCTGGGCTGAGCTGCTGGGAGGATGGGGGGTGGTGAGGGCAGAATGCACTTCATGAGGATGTGGGAGAACATGCCCAGAACTGGTTCTGCTGGTGACTTCACCAGGTCAGTGCCTCCCAGGAAGAGATGAAATGCCCTGCTCCTGGCAATTCAGTTAAGGCCCCTTCTCCTTCCCACCTGGGAGAGCAGGGGTCTGGCTTCTCCCCAGCCAGCATGACTTTTTCACATGCGTGGGTGGCCACCAGACCACAGAGGTGGGGACTTGCCTGGGGCAGGGTGCGGAATCCCCAGGGGACAGTTCTGGCCCAGGAGACAGAGAACTAGGCCCGACTAGGAGAGGATGGTCATTCTCTTTCCGCCCCCTCCCTGGAGCCTGGAAGCATCCTCCCGTGTGGAACTGAAGGCTGAGCTGACCACCAGATTCCCGGGCCTAGGGCGCCCCCACAGTGATGTGCTCACTAGAGAGTCCATTGCTGAGGAAGGACCAACCAGGCCATCTGGCTCATCTTTCCCTTGACCCAGCCCTCGCCAGCACCAGCTGGCCCTCTGCTCAAAGGCCCCCAGGCTGGCTTTTGAGAGATAGGGCAGGGAGGGAGCGGAGGCCTGTGGTAGCCCAGGTGGTCCTGGGCCAGCCTGTCTGCCCAAAGAAGGCTCTGGGCTCACTTCCCAGGGCGTGGGGGGTTCCTGGTATGGCTGCCACTGGTCCCCATTATCACCGGGTCCCGGGAGCCCACGACAGTTCCTGAATTGCACACTGATCTGAAGTACCCCTAAAATCTCCCACTTCTCAGCTTCCTCTCTCCGTCGGCTTCCTTCCTAGCAGCGGAGCCAAATGCCAAGCCCTCCTTCCTACTCTCGCCTGCTCTGTGGGACTCTCCCCAACGACTTCACTGCTTAGCACTTGATTTGGATGTGACCACTGACCCATAAGCGTCTGATTTCCATCGGGGGCGTCCCCTTAGAGTTTTCCATGCCCAGAGCACCGGGAGCTGCAGATCTTTGGCCTCTGGGAAGGGCCCTCTAGTTGGTTATGCACTGATCATGATGTTGGTTGAATAACGTCACCCCTCTGCCTCAGTTTCCCTTGGTGATAGAGGTGAACACTCCTATCATTGTGCCTTTCTCTGGTTTTAAGGCAGCGGTTAAAATGCGAGGTTGTGAGTGTGTCTAGATTCACATCCTGGATTTTCCTGGTTTCAAAGATTCTGTCCCCGTGGTCAGATCTTGTGTCTGAACTAGGATCTACTTTGGACATAGAGAAAGGTGGACTTACTCCAGCAATGGGCTGGGATTTTACTTGCTCCTATGCAGATGAGAACCACTCTGACCAGGCACTGACCTGGAAATGCTACCCAAACACAGTTCTGCCCAGCGGAGCGCAGGAGCCCTTCCTGGGGGGCTCTGGGAAAGCCTGTCCCTCAGCCCTCAGTCCCTGTCTCACCCGCCCCTGGGCACTGGTCAGGGAGGGCCACTCACCGGCACAGAGTGTCAACAGTGTGGGCCGCATCTTTCCCACCATGGTCTTGCTCCTGCTCTGCCCAGACCCGGCCGGGCCCTGGGAGCACCAAACGAGTCCGGCTGACCAGTTCAGGAACAGCAGCCTTGGCCTGGCCCAGCCCGAGGTCTCTGCTCTTCTCCCTCCTCCTGCCCACCTCTGCCCAGCCTGGCCCCATGCCACGCCCTCAGCTGGATGGGCAGGTGAGCTCACCTGTGGGTTGGGCCATGCTGTAGCTCTCTACCCAAGGGACCCAGCATTCTGCCCTCCCCTCTTCGGAGCCAGTCACCTACCCTGCAGTCTCCCTGTTGAGCAGGTGTCCAAAGTCCTGGCCTTCTCTAAGGTGTGGCCTCTTTGATAACTGACACAAAGCTGTTGCCTGGCAATAAAAGGGGGATGGTCTCCGAGACAGGATTCTGATCTAGTGAAGAAGGGAAACCTGCATTGGCTGAAATACTTCAAGATCCAGTGTGACGGTGCCTGGGCTTCCCTCCTGTTCTAGTATGCTTCCCAGCGCCCAGGACAGCCAGGAAGAAGACGGGGAGTCCCCTCCCTCAGCGCATAATCTAGTCTGGAAAGCCGCAGATAGATGACCTTGGAGATAAGTGACCCCTGGGACTGTCCTGGTTTTTAACCCACAGGCATACTGTCCTGGAAATCCCCTCGGTTACAAGCAAGTTGAGATGCTGATCACCTGCTAGGATGATGGTTGGGAGCAGGGGCAACTGTGTAGGAGCAGCCAGTGGCACAGATTCTTCCACAGATATGTGATAAAAGGTGCACAAACGATGGTGTATCACATCCTCTATTCTGCAGTGAGGTTGGCTTTTTTATTTTTTACTTAATAAAATACCTTAGAGTTTTCTGTATCAGTACATGTAGCATCATCAACTTCTGTTTAATGGGTCATAAAATTCTGCTGTATGAAATTTCCTTTTCTGAATCTGGGTAGTCCATTTCCCCCTATATCTGTTACGTGGTTGATCTCTAGAAGCTCTTTGTGTATTAAGGGAAATGTCTTTTGGGAGTGATAAGTATTGCAGATTCTTTTGCCTATATTTGTTTGTATTATGAATTCAGAATTTCCTACATACATTATTTTATTAATCGTTTTGTGGCTAGTAGGTTTGATTGACATACAAAATTTATTTGATTTATTAAAATTTACTTGAGGGGCTGAGATTGTGGCTCAGTGGCAGAGCACTTGCCTCGCATGTGTGAGGCACTGGGTTCGATTCTCAGCACCACGTATAAATAGATAAATAAATAATGAAAGTACATCAACAACTAAAAAATTTTAAAAATTCAAAAAATCATTTTAAAAAAATAATAAAATAAAATTTACTTGGTCACCTGACTGGATTTTCTTATTGTAAGTAATAATTTTTCAGACCAAATATTTCATAACACCATTGTCCTAACACACGGTCCTTAGATCGTCACTTCTCTGCTTAGGTCCTCTCACTGACTGCAGAACCTAACAAGTGAACCCAGCTCTTTTGTTGGCTGTTAAGTTGTTCTAGCATTTGTTCTTCTAAAAATCATCTTCCAGACTATATTACTTTTGCTTTGAGCAAGTAAGACATCCCACCCAGAACTCAGACTTCCTGGGGCAGAACTCGGTCCACACGTCCCTGTGTACTTCCTCCCCTACCCGTCAGCTGTGGTGACTTCACCTGCCTTAAAAAGCCAGCTCGTGGGTTGCCCCTTCTCCTAGGACCCCTTTGCTGCCTTCCCCGGCCTTCGAACTCGCCTAACTCTGGGTCTCTTCTGGGGCCCTAACTGCACTCTGCCTTGTGCTTGAGTTATTGGGGGTCTGTGGTCACTCCTCCTAATAAACCGGGAGCTCACTCACTCATTTGGCCAGTTTCTAATGGTGCTGTTCCATCCAGAGAGGAAGAACGGCCGCTTCAAGCCGTGTGCCTCGCTGACTGTGGCCAAGTGCCATGGCTGATTCACAGCAGGAAACTAGCGAGTGTCTCAATGGACAGAAAAATAGATGGACGGATGATGGGGTAACTAGAGAATGTGTGGGGAAGGGGGAGAACCCTGGCTCTGGGCTCTGATCCTAGTGATGGGGGCGGGAGAAGGTGGGTTATGAGCTCATTCGACGTTTATGAAGCCCACGCAATTTTTAATCACCCAAAGTTGACAACTGGCCTTCTCCGGGGGCTGGAGTGAGGGCAGGGTGTGCAGGAGCACAACTGCCACCTCTGTGGAAGGCGGCCGTCCCCGCCACAGGCAAGGGCCCCTTCAGCCGCAGTGGGCTGCTCGCCCTACCTTCCTGCCGCTCTCTCGGATGCCGCGGGGCTGAACTAAGGCTCTTCTTCTAGGTCTGATGATTCCGACCGTCTGGGGAAGGACTCTGATGGACAGGCCCAGGCAGGAGGGCCTGGAGAGGGCCCAGAGGAGGCTGCCTCCCGAGGCCTCTCTGTCCACAGTGAGGGTCCTCCCACTCCACAGCTGAAGGCCACTGTCTGGGGGCTCAGCCAGGAGGTAAAGGGTTAAGCAGGCCTCTTCTGGGGACTGGCCCCAGCCTGCATTCCTTCCTCACAGAGACCTGCCAGTCCGGGGCCAGAGGCTAAATTTAGAGGGTGGCTAAGGTTTCCTCCTAACAGCTGTCTTGCTCCTCAGAGAAGTCACCCAAGAGAGGAGAGAGCTTGGTCTCTCTTACTGGACGCTGTTTTTGGCCATTCCATCTGGGTCCTCGGCCCTTGGTGTGGACACCCAGGCCGGCTGGTGGTAAGTGCTCCTCCCTGGTTTTGCCCTGATGAACCTGGCTCAACAAGGGGGCAGCAGCTCTGCCCACACGTCGGGGGCCAGCCGCCATGTTGGGACCACCTTCTGTGGAATGGCCCCTCAGCCAAGGCCCAGACTCCTGCGGCCTTAGAAGGCTCCCTGGTGGAGGCTGGTCCTGCCTCTCCCCAAGCAGGCAACAGGTGTGTGCGCCAGCCTCTGTGTGTGTGTGTGTGAGTGTGTGTGTGTGAGTGTGTGTGTGTGTGAGTGTGTGTGTGAGCCTGTGTGTGTGTGTAAGTGTGAGTGTGTGTGTGTGAGTGTGTGTGTGTGTGTGAGTGTGGTGTGTGTGTATGTGTGAATGTGTATGAGTGTGTGTGTGTGAGCGTGTGTGTGTGTGTGTGTGTGGAGGGGCTGGCGCCATGGCACACGCGGAGCACCCTACCATTCAACAGAACATCTCGTCTGGGGATTTGACTGTCCTTGGGCCTGCGTGGCTACAGTTACGGTGGAGTCGGTTCCCCTCACTGCCCTGGCTGGTCCTGTGGAAGGGACCCAGTCGGCCCTTCTTCAGCACCAGGTCTGCAGGTGGCTGTGAACACGGCCCGGGCACTCTCTGGAGACCTGATGGAGTTGTCCACACCGGCTTTACGCCCTGGGTATCAGCAGGCAGTGACCTTCCCATTCCCAGTTCCACCAAGGTGACATTTCTCGCACTCCCCCCCCCCCAAGCCTTGGAACCTGGTTCTAACCACCTTTTCCCCTGCCTGGCAGGAGCTGGTGGCTGACATGGCATCCGGTGGGGACCCAGAGGAAGAGCAGGTGGTCCCAGATGAGGAGGACGGAGCCACCGTGCGGGCGGTGCAAGCCCACTACCTCCGCAGTCCCTCCCCCAGCCAGTAAGTGGTCAGGGAGGGGCCAGGGCACAGCGGGAGGAATAGGGCCGGGAGCACACGGCCAGCCCCTGAGCTAGTGCAGTCGCCAACATCGAGGGCTCTGTGTGTCCTCCTCTGAGAAGGAGGCAAACGTACGAGCCAGCTGACGGCAGTGTGGCATGTGGGTCCAAATAGCACCCTCTAGGGCACAGGGAGAGTGGGCAGGGGAAGGGACAAGTGGCCTTTGAAGGGCCAGCGGAGGCTTCCCGAAGGGGCTCTGCAGGCCCAGACCATGCAGGTGGGTAGGGATCTGGCAGGTCTGCCCTGCAGGCTGGATTCAGTGGGTGGGGCTGGGAGGAGGGTGGTGGGGCGGGGGGTGAGGACAGTGGGGCTGGGGGTGAGGAGGGTGGGAGAAGGGATCAGGAGAGGCAGAGGCCCACACGAAAATAGCTCTGCCTCTGTGAGGAACCCTTCAAACTGGAGATAAGCGTGCCGGGGGCCGAGTGGCAGGGTGCCAAGCGTGATAAACACGCGTCTTCCTGGGAAGGCCGCCTGGCTCTGCGACAAGTGATTTAAAGCTTTCTTTTCCACTGAAAGCATGGAGGAGATGTGATGGTGTAGAATGACAAATTTGCATGAATGTTTAAGAAAAACCATGAGACTAAAGAAGTGCCGTGCTTCGTCGCCTGCTCAAATAGTAGTGTGTGCGCCTGTCCATCCCCTTCTGCCATGAATGACGGCAGAGCCAAGCCCCGATCGCAGCTCTGACACCAAGTCAGAGTGACAGTCCACTAGATTCTGGAGCCCGCATCTTCTTGTCTCGAAAGGGGAAGGAAAGGCCCAACTAGAGCACCTCCAGGTGGCGGCGTCCGAGTGTCTCTGATTCGCCTGCCTCAGGCTTCTCAGCCCTCCTGGGTCTTGCTGGTCCCTGCGTCCTGGGGTTCCAGAGGCCTCCCTGCTGGAGAGAGCGGGAGCAGGGCAGGTGCTCCCCACTCTCTGGCCAAGGCTCTTTGCCAAATGGAGCTGGCAGACAGCTCCTTTAATTCAGCACCATGTTCCCATCAGCATGGAGGGACTCGGAGCATCCCCTCCCTCTCGGGCCCCAGAGGGTGGAGCAGCTGTGTGGCTGGGGTGAGACGCTCTGTGTCCCTGGCTCATGCCAGCCTTCCTGGTCAAGGGTGTCTCTTTCTCACTCTAATAAGTTCCAAATCAGGGGCCCAAGAGAGCCGGGCACGGAGCTCCTTCTGCCTTGTGGGCCGCTGTTTTGAAGCAAGGAATCTAAGGTCACTGTGCCCACCCACATCACAAGATGGGAGACCACAGAGACTATCCCGGGTGGCTTTTATGGGCCAAGTCTGCAAAAGGCCACGTCCCTTCTCAGCATATTCCATCCACCAAACTCCAAACCCCATGAGGCCACGTGGTTTTTTTTTTGTAAGGGGGGATGGGAAATAAGGTCCGTGGCCCAGGAACAGGAGGGAAGGAGTTTGCTGATTCACAGTGTCTTTGCTCTGCCGTAGCACCCCTCCCCTCTGGGCAGCCTTCTGTGTTGCTCCTCCACCCACAGGACACTCCCTGGCCCCCAAGAGGGACAGCCCAATTCCCAGGTAGGGCTGCTGCTTGACCCCTTCAAAGGCCTGAGCATAGCACCCATGGTCCAACCTACAACTGCTAAGAAATCTCCCATCCTATCCGTGATTGGTGGGCATTTCCTAGGTTCAGCCCAATGTGGCTCTCTGGGGGACTTCGGCCTCCTGTCATTCTCTTTGACCACAGCTCCATTTCCTGGTCCATTATCCTCCAGGGATCCAGCTGAAGTGGGTGGGAGGGCAGGTCTTCCTGCAGGCAGAGCGGCCTTTGCAGACCGTGTCCTGCTTGTGGAAGTCTAGGGCTCGGAGCTGCTTTAAGGCTTGTGCCACCTGAGGCCTTTTTAAAGCGCAAGGTTTCTTTGAAAACATGATCGTTTCCAAAACTGAATAGGTATCTGACTCTGTAGGCCAGAGAACTCCGTGTGTCAGGAGCACAGGGTAGACAGGGGGAGTCTGTGGTCCTCCCCTGGGACCATGTGGACCCTGTGGCGGTGGAGCACAGCAGAAGTGCCACTGTGCGACTGCTGAGTCTAGACCACGCACAGCCGATGCCCTGTGGCCCGTTCTTTCGGACGCAGCCCTTGGATCAGCAGTGTGCTCCAGAGGTGTGTCTGGATACAGGTCTCAGCCCTTTCTTCCTTGTCGGTTACTGACAGTTATCTTGAAAGGCACCTGAAGCGGTAGATGTGGGTGAACATCCAGAGTGCACATTGCAATTTCCAGTGTGACTGCTGAAAGGTTTGCAGCAGGTGCAATCTGTCATATCCCTAGTCAGGGAAGACACACAGTGGAACACAATCAACCCGAAGAAGGAAAGAGAAAGAGGAGAAGAATGCAGAAAGAGCAGGACAAAGAATAAGGAGAAGATGGGAAGTAGATTTAAACCCAGACACATAAGGCATGACCTTACACTTGGATAGACTAAGTACTCCAATCAACAGCGGAAGATTGTCTGGCTCCATTTTTTCTATAAAAACCTACCTGCCATTTATAAGAGTTATGCCTCAAAAATAAAGGGACACAAAGATCATGGAGAGTGGGAAACTTATGCTGCAGGGTTTCAGTCCCTGTTGTGACTTCACAGTTCAGTGATACAGAACAGCCGCCCTCCGCAGTCACCATGAGGCCCCTGGACAAGGCACATTGGCCAGCTAGTGTCTGCTGTAGGTTGTGAGACCTCAAATGGGAGGATCTCAAGGGTGACTCTAGGCTGAGGGTCACCCAAGAGCTGGGGGCTGGGACCACAGAGGCCTCTCTGGACGATGGGCAGTCTGTGTTATGACTCACCAGGGCTGTTGGCCCGAATCCCGAGGATGGCCTTTCCACGGCGGTCACTCTGGGCTGCCTCAGAGCACACTGCTGATCCAAGGGCTGCGTCCGAAAGAACGGGCCACAGGGCATCGGCTGTGCGTGGTCTAGACTCAGCAGTCGCACAGTGGCACTTCTGCTGTGCTCCACCGCCACAGGGTCCACATGGTCCCAGGGGAGGACCACAGACTCCCCCTGTCTACCTGTCGGAGGAGGTGCCAGGGTCACAGAAGAGAGAGCAGTGGGATGGGCACTTTGCGGCCAGTGGAAAGCCCAAGTTGCCCCGACTGTAATCACCAGCAGAAGGCCATCCAGCGAGGCGGCACCGAGAGCAGATGTTAGGGCAAGCGTCCCTGGACACAGAGAGGGACCTTTCACAGGGATGGAAGAGCATCGTTTTAGATATCTGTGATCTAATGACATCCTCAGGATTCACACAGCAAAAACCAGCAGACTCAGGAAAAAATCAAAGTCTGCAGCTTTAGTCAAGTATATATTTTTAAAAATCACTAAGAATATAGAAGATCGGTGAATACCTGTGAGGGCCTCGGGAGGCTGAGGCAGGAGGGTCACAAGCTCCAGCCCAGCCTGGGCAACACTGTGAGCGCCCATCCCGAGAAAAATACAGAAAGTCTGAACAAACAATAAAGAAACTAGCCTGGCCGGCACGGATAGAGTGTGTGCCCAGCAACTGCAGGGGACAGGTTCTGATCACAGGTGTGTGGAGCATTTACCAAAATGGATCATATACTGGGCAATACATAGATCCACAAACTTCTCTGACCATGGGAAAATCAAGGTGGAAATCAATAAAAACAGGAAAAAAAGATTAACAGTAAATCACAAATCGGAACCACTTTATGCCACCAGCATACCTAAGACTGAAGAGTGACAACAGTCACTCTAGCACTGCGAGGCTATAGGACTCCCAGTCGCTGCCGGTGACAGGGGCTCGGACACCAGGTTTCACAGTTGCTACTGAAGTTGAGGACAGCTGAGCCCTGGCCCAGCAGGCTGCTCCGGCATGCACTGACCAGGAGTCATGCCACGTGCCCTTGCCAAGGATGTGGCTGCCCATGGACGTGGAAAGATAAATTCAATGGCATAGATTCTTGAGTAATTCCCCTGGGAATATGCATGCGATGAGCCACCTGTCCCTGGTGAGACTAGCCCTGAGAGCAATTGGTGGGGAAGGACATGGTGAGTGCACTGCAAGAGTCGGGCGGGGCAAGAGTCACGGGGGGAGGGGCAGGAGAGCAGTCTGCCAATCACCTGGCTTCACACAGTTGCCCTGCCCTGGGACAGAAGCGCTGGTTAATGGAGATGTCCCAGTGGCACTGGGCACGAAGCCTTCCAGCAGTCACTTCAGGGAAGATCTGAGGACACTTCCTGAGCATCTCTCCCCACAGTGTCATCATGGGATCCTAGGATAAATGTCACAGCTGCAGGGGCTTTTTTGATTCATTGTTTCCTACCACTGAGCTACATCCCCAGGCCGTTTGGGTTTTCATTTTGAGACAGTGGCTCACTCTGTTGCTCAGGCTGGCCTTGAACCTCCGATCTTCCTGCCTCAGCCTCCTGAGTTGCTGGGATTACCGGCGTGGGTACTGCACAGGCTTCTGAGCTTGAGTAGATGAGGCCCCCTCCATTACACAGAGGCCAACCCAAACGGACTCCTTGTGGGTGGATTTCCAGTGTTTGAAATGAAAAGACAACCCTCAGACTGGAGAAAATATTTGTAAATATCTGATAACGAATTTTTATTCCAGATTTTTTTAAAAATCAGATATCAAAACCTAATAAGAAAACAACACAATTTAAAAATAGACAAACTTTTGAACACATTCTTCAGTGAAGAAGACACGTGGACAGTAAACAACTATATGAAAAATATGCTCAAAATCCTTAAGCATTGGAGAAATCCAAATTAAAGCCACAACAAATTGCCATTATATATTAATTAGAGTACTAAAATAGGATTAAAAATTAAGAAGACTGAGAATACGAAGTAGCTGAAGTAATCTCTTCTTGCTGGTGGGAAGATAAGATGGTGCCACTGTTTTACAAACTGTCAGCGTCTCACAAAGTTAGAGACGTGAAGGCCTCTGTTCACAGAAGGACTTGTGC